TTAAAGGGGTCATATGATGCGATTTCAATTTTTCCTTTCTCTTTGGAGTGTTACAAGCTCTTGGTGCATAAAGAAGATCTGTAAAGTTGCAAAGACTAAAGTCTCAAATCCAAAGAGATATTCTTTATAAAAGTTAAGAGTCAACCACGCCTACCTAAAACGGCTCGTTCTAACAAGCCCCCACATGTCTACGTCACGATGTGAGAAGATTTGCATAACGCCGCCTAAATGTTCACGCAAAGAAAAAAGGCGTAACTTTTATTCTCGCTGTAGTATTGTTGCTGCCGCCATGTCGTGAAGACGCGTGTGTGTTTGTGTTCTGTGTGTTTCGTTGTGAAAGCGAAACTGCTTTGTTTGGCCTTCCAAAAGAGGACGATATCCGCTTCGTCCTGCTTAGAGCCAATCCGTGCTGGTCTCTGAGGAAATACATCAACTTCGCGCTGTGGATCGCCGGATCGGCTTTCACCGTGGACAAAGCGGAGTCCAGCCTGGGGCCGTCACATGTGGTTACCGCAAACCCGCCGGCCTCTCCTTCGTCGAATCTGCCGGACGCTGCTCACTCAAGCCCACCTGCTGCCGCTCACTCTAGCCCGCCGTGTGAAACTACTTTGTTTGGCCTTCTAAAAGAGGACACGACTAGAAATCAGTGGTTAAAGGGCTAGTTTACCCAAAAATGAAAGTTGGCTTGTGTTTTACTCACCCTCGAAGCATCCTAGGTGTATATGACTTTCTTCTTTCAGACAAATCCAGTCGGAGTTATATTAAAAATTGTCCTGGCTATTCCAAGCTCTATCATTGCAGTCAGCGGGTGTTGCATTTGAACAGTCCATGCGCGCATTCGTAATAAAACGTGCTTCACACGGCTCCGGGGGGTGACTAAAGGTCTTCTGTAGTGAATCCATGCGTTTTTGTAAGAAAAATATCCTTATTTCAAATGTAAAAAACACTTTTATATCACTTCCGCCAACTGTCATACTCGGTTGCGTGATTAATGACAAACGCGGAGAGACAACAAAACAAAACGCCGATCACGAATTAAAAGTACAAACCGAAGATTTGCAAAGAAAAATGTTTTGGAGGATTTCGATATAAGCCAAGAGGAGACTGGTTTTCCTTTGCTAAAGTAAGGAAACTATGCTTCCTTTGCTCCTATAAACAGACTTGCGAGACTAGCATATCTCAGAGGCGCGCGCACTGCTGATACGTCATACACCTTCCGCCGGAACGCCATCCGCGTATATGAAAGATAACGGAAGTGAGAGAAAAGTGTTTATTACATTTGAAATATGGATATTTTTCTTACAAAAACGCATGGATTCACTACAGAAGCCCTTTATTCACCCCCTCAGAGCCATGTGAGGCACGTTTTATTACAAATGCGCGCCGCTTTATTTGCCGACTTGTGGACTGTTCAACTGCAACACCCGCTGACTGCAATGATAGATCTTGGAATAGCCAGGACAATTTTTATATAACTCCGACTGGATTCATCTGAAAAAAGAAAGTCATATACACCTAGGATGCTTTGAGAGTGAGTAAAACACAAGCCAATTTAAATTTTTGGGTGAACTAACCCTTTAAGTTGTATTTACAACACTGTTCCAGAACAGTTCAACCCAAATATTCAGATGTGTGCAGCACATTTTATGAAGGACTGTTTACTGATCCTGGTAGAGTAGACTACAATGCCGGCTATTCTGACTCACAGACTGTAAGTACATTTTCATTTGAAGGATTTGCCACTGATGATTCAAACGCAAGTTTTGAGCAGTGTAGAGTAGCGCTTGTTGTTTGTCATTTCTCCGATCACAAATGCAGACATGGTTTTATGTTTACGCGGCGCGTAATCCGTAATCATGTCCCCACTGGATGCAACAAATGCCTAATTTATAATGGATTTTAATGTTTTTGGCTCGTCGTCGCTCCGGCTGGGACACACCATCACAGTATGTTAAGGGGCGTGACATTTTCGTCACACGCTTGAGGTATTCGGCCAATCACAACCCACTGGATAGCTGGCCAATCAGAGCACACCTCGTTTTTCAGACCGATGAGCTTTGTAAAAATCGACGCGTTTCAGAAAGGCAGGGCATCAAAAACAATAATGTACAGTATGTGGAAAATAATGTGTTTTTTGAACCTTAAACCGCATAAACACATTTCATTACACCAAATACACAAAATAAAGTTATTTTTAGCAACATCATATGACCCCTTTAAACCTGTTTGAAAACCTTCATTATTTGTGCAGTTGTGTTTGGGCTACACTTAGTTGCGCAAAAACTACACACTTCACCTTTAAATGTACCTCAGCAAATCATGGCTCATTCTCAAAGAGCTCAAGAGGGTGACCCAGATTTGCAGTATGCCTATTGCTCAATTACTTAACTTGACTGTGTCTAAACAGCCTTTACTTGACTGATTACCTCACGTCAAATCAGGCAGATTCCTATCATACATTTAGCCTGACCCACACTAGTGAGCAATGCTTTCATTATGTGATGTGATTTACTTTCAAAAGCAGACTAGAATGACGTAGCATCATATTCTTTTGTACGAAAAATGTCTCAAAAGGTGATGACGGCAATCAAATACAAGCAGTTACTTAATTATATCCAAATATTAAAAAAAAAAAAATAGTGTAATCAAGCCACACTCAATGTATGAATGTCTTAGGCTAGATAATAAGATCAGCATGTGAAAACAAATAACACTAGACTTTCTCTAAACTAATCTCTTTTCTGAGCCATTTTTTTGCAGATCATTTTAACCAGCGCGTCCCAAAGTGATAGTAGCACGCACATATGAAGTCAATGTCCCTTGAGTTCACACAGGTGCTCTAACATAACCACAGGTGTAGCGGTTTGCCTGTCGGATGGATAAACAGATGAAAAATCCCATAAACTCACACTGCAAATGGATCATATCTCCAGAAAATAACATTTTATAAACTTGCAGTTGAGCGTATTTGGCTCAAGCCAACATGTAGCCATTCATAACACCATAGCAACTTCCTATTCCTGCCCTAGCAACCAGAAACAACACCCTAGCAACTGTACAAATGCCATTCAGGGGTCTCTCAAAGGCCATATCTCACAAGTTCCTTAGAAAAAGCCTTTGATCATAAACCTACAAAATGCAGCAGGTAACTAAAACAAACATGCACAGATTGTGAGTGATCTGAACAGACCCTGTGCACAAAACTGGGATTGTCAAATTCAATTAACAAAGCAAGAGGACCAGCAAACAACAACAGACACCAAAGAATCTCTTCGATGTAATCGATGCACACCCCTGACCACCCTGGTAACGGTTGTTATATTAACACGAAGTAATGCCATCTTATATTAGTAATTTCATCATCATAATCAGGTAAACAAGTCAGGTGATGTGATCACAAAGCGCAATCCATATTCGTTTCCCCATTGATGTGTGCTGTGGGACACAAGGGGCTTTGTTATTAGTGAAGGATACTGGGTAGGCGGCACGGCTGACGGCGGAGGAGCGCTCTGGGCTCCCGGTGGTAACGACACGGAGGTCAGCGCTGCGCGGAGTTGCGTTGGCGGTGCCGGTCCGGTTACGTGTCCACTAACAGCGACAGCGACCGGTTTCGGTGGCAAACTCATTGCAGAAATTTCAACCAAAACAAACAATACGCAGCTGAAATCGATCGCACGTTCCAACAATATCTGGCCGTTTCTTCTCTCTACGAAGGCCGGAACGTGTGTAACGTTATATCCTTATGCCATGGATTTCATTCAGATCTGGCTGTTAGTACCAAAATGTCATTTTATCTTTGAAGTCGGGGGTTGTAGCTGCTCTATGCATGGGGACGGTAGGGGGTTTGTATCCCCCTCCAGCCACCCTGGATCTCCCCGGTCGAATTGTTCTTCTCCGCCTCCTCAGATGGCCGTCTCCCGGTTTGTTTGCTCCGCTTTGCGTAGTAACATCACATTAGCGAGTCGCATTATATGAATTTCTCATAAAGATGGGAGATTCGTTCAACATGGCGTTGTTGCGGCTGCTTCCAGCAGTCCGGCTGGACGGACGGCTCGGTAAACCTCGGGTGAGTTCGGAGATGCTCGGGTTCACTTTACGCCACTTCGTATTGATGGGAAGTCCGACACACTTCCAGGAATCGGTTCTTTCGAACAGTTCGCTTCAAACACGCGGTTCGTAAAACGATTCAGTGGATATTTAACGTCGTGACGTAATTGCCACCTCACGTCGTCCCTGACAAAGAGCTTCAAAGTGTATTTGATCTTTTACACCCGATTTTATTATTTAATTATTTTTATATTATTATTATTATTATTAAGAACGGAAATGCATGTATACTGTTAATGTTTATGCAATAAAAAGATTATCATTAAAACTAGCATTTACAATAAACAGTACTAAACTTAATGAACATATGTGACCATGGACCACAAAACCAGTAGTAAGGATCCATTTAAAAAAAATAATAATTGAGATTTATAGATTATCTGAAAGCTGAATAAGCTCTCTTTGCGGCCTGGTCGAAGCTACAGAGTACTGCGCACCAGAACGGCCAGACACAGGAACAGTTTCTTCCCTCAGGCAATCCACCTCATGAACACTTGACAATAAACGTGGAACCCACAACACTACTATACATTTATTTAACACACGTACTTTTTTACATTACAAATTTGCACATATCATACCTGTACATACATAATTGTTTATTTTGTATATTGTGTTTTTGCTATTTTGCACATTGTCTATTTTGTATATTATTCTTGTTTTATTATCTATGTCCTGTCTTGTCACTGTCATTCTGTTGCACTGTGGAGCTTCTGTCACTAAAACAAATTCCTCGTATGTGTAAACACACCTGGCAATAAAGCTCATCCTGATTCTGATTTCTATTGAAGTATGGTTTGTTAGGATCGGACAATATTTGGCTGAGATACAACTATATGAATATCTGGAATCTGAGGGTGCAAAAAAATTTAAATAATACAAATCAAAATCAAAATACTTAGAAAATCGCATTTAAAGTTGTCCAAATGACGTTCTTAGCAATGAATATAACAACAACAAAAAAAGTGTTTATATATTTACGGTAGGAAATTTACAAAATATCGTCATAGAACATAATCTTTACTTAATATCCTAATGATGTTTGGCATAAAAGAAAAATCGATCATTTTGACCCATACAATGTATTGTTGGCTTGCTACAAAAATACCTGTGCTACTTATGACTGGTTTTGTGGTCCAGGGTCACATATCTTGAATTAAAAATAAATATGCAACTATTTGTTTGAAAAAAAAAAACATACATTATATTTATTCATTATGTATGTTGCTAAAACCGTTAAGACATAAACATATTTCCAGTATATTTTATGTGTTATTTCAGTTCTTAAGAGTCGGTGAGTTGTTGACTCGAGAACCACGATTCAGTTCGATCTGTGATTGAATCATTCAGGCCGGTTTTGTGAACCGGTTCATTGACAAGATCTAAAAAGAACGATTCGTTTACGATTCGCACATCGCAATATGCCATTGAAAGCGACGTCATAAAGGCAGCCCCCACATGCCTGCACTGTTTCACACAATGAATGGCATCTCCGTTACATTCCAAACCATCCATAATCAGTGTAAGAGACGAATGAGTTATAATACGCAATGTATTATAACTAAATATAAAACTGCAGTTTCACCTTAGGGGTCCCGCCCAAATTTAGGTTGCAGTAGAAAGACTACTTCAAATTTTACTTACGTTTGAGAAAGGCTCAAATAAAATTGAACATCGAATAGAATATATACGTTTGCCTATGTTGTGAAGTATGTATTTTTGGGGTTAGATGGTAGGAGGCTGATAAGAACATTGGCTTGCTTTTTGATGTGGCATTTCTGTTGCTATTAATATATGTGAATGTGGCGACATCTGTCGGTCATACTTCCAGGAGACGGAGAGCCAAATTAGAAACCACAAAATTACTGTTGAATCAATCATCAATGAAAATTACAGCGATTGCAATGTGTTAACATCAGTTAATAAACTAACAATAAGCGATATAAATATGAACTCTTGTGCTGTGCTGAAAAACTTATAAATATTTTAATGTTCCCAGTCAAAATGACCAGCCTTTTAAAAATTGCTTGTAAATGTGTAATTATGCTTTATCACCACCAAATCTTGGATTCACTTTTTTTCCCAACTTGCTTTCAGTTAGCACAGGGTTTGTATTTCTTTTTGGAACTGACTGATCGTTGGCCTCGGTGTTCTGCACATCAGTTTTTGAGTGGGGAAAAAAAGCATTATTTGTGGATAAATTTAGGCAATATTCAGTTGACTTTGATGAATAAGATCAGATCAATGAGGCCGAGCAATCATTTCTAAAATCAAATACAAAACCTGTGCTAACTGAAAGGAAACATGTTGATAAATTGATTGAATCCAATATTTGGCAATGTAATAGCATTATGAGAAATTTACAAGCAATTTTTTGTAGTGAGCAATCATTTCTAAAATCAAATACAAAACATGTGCTAACTGAAAGGAAACATGTTGATAAAATTGATTGAATCCAATATTTGGCAATGTAATAGCATTATGAGAAATTTACAAGCAATTTTTTGTAGGCTGGCCATTTTTGACTGGGAATACCAAAAGTTTAACAAGGTGGCGTTAACATTAATTGTTTATTAATGTTAACTAATGTTAACAAATGAAACCTTATTCTGAAGTGTTACCTATATTTCCTATTTATTTTGAGGGCAGAAGGGCAGTTTGAATTTGTGTGTAATAAAAATATTTTCCCAGCAATTCCCATATTTGCATAGTTTTTAAGGCACTTTCTTGTTTAGTGGTCCAACTACATATTGGGCCACATGTGACATTGGGAGTTGACAAAATCAAATTATTTGCCCGAGTTAAAGTTCATATTGTACAGGCAAATTCAACAAATAAGAAGTGATGGAACGGTCTTATAAAACTTGTCAACCATGTATTATGCTTGCACAATGTGTTGTGCAAGAATTGGCAAACATTAAAGACAAAAAAAAAATCCCACCAACAATGTAATACAGATAACTTAAATACTGTTTCCTATTAGAAAAATAAAAGCATTTGCTAAAAAGGCACATATTCAAAGAAAACATATTTGCAGAAAAGGGAATTCCTTCTCCCATTATATTTAACCACTAACTTCCAGTGTTTTGAATGTTTGTAAGAACAACACTCCATTATATAGACTTCCTTGGAGTCCCTCACCATGTATTATGCTTGCACAATGTGTTGTGCAAGAATTGGCAAACATTAAAGACAAAAAAAAAAATCCCACCAACAATGTAATACAGATAACTTAAATACTGTTTCCTATTAGAAAAATAAAAGCATTTGCTAAAAAGGCACATATTCAAAGAAAACATATTTGCAGAAAAGGGAATTCCTTCTCCCATTATATTTAACCACTAACTTCCAGTGTTTTGAATGTTTGTAAGAACAACACTCCATTATATAGACTTCCTTGGAGTCCCTATTTACACCAATTCCCCATTAAGAGGCAAGTAATAGCTGGAAAATATGTCGTCCATTATAAATCCACCAGCTTTTTGGCAGTCTAGATTAGGCAACCTGAGATGGATGTTTGGGATTTTTGAACAATAACAGCTCCAGTTTCGGTCCCCCATACAGTGACAGAGTCACTGTCACCACAGCTCACACTTCCGTTTGGGGTTCATGGGTGAGTCTGCCTTGCAGCCAAAGTGTGTAGAGAACTCATGGGAATTGGAGATGGTGCCAATGACCCGGAAACGTGACGGACTGTGGGAGTCAGTAATAACGCCCTCATGAGAGCTTTCAGGTGTCCGAACTGAGCACCACACCTACAAAAAAAGGAAACAAAGGGTTTTGTTAGACGAAAATAGGACAAAACTAGATTACTACATTTTCGAAGAAGTGGTGAGTGGTGCTTGCTGTGCAAAAGTCATTACCCTGATTCTATGGTTTTTGTGGGAATTAGTATCAAATATATATATTTTTTAATTTTACAGTTTTTATTTCTATTTTATCTTTCAGTTTAGTCTTAATTTTGTTAGTTTACACTACATCAATGTTAGTTTCATTTTTTGTTTGTTTTAGTATTTTAAGGCCAGAAAGTTTATTGACTAACTGGTATCAGTTAAAAATGTTTAACGCTGATAAATTTCTCGGTACAGTCTAGTTATTGCTATCTCATTGCATTTTTATGTTTAACACAGGCAGGTTGTAAAGGTTTGAAGTATTATAATATACAATACAAACAAATACTTAATGGGTTATTATTTTTTTTAGATAGTTTGAGTCATGAAAATGTATTTTAGTTTAAATATATTTGAACTTTTTTCCAGTTATGTTTCGCTATTTATCTATTTATTTAGTTTTTTTAACAGTTAACAGACAAGTTAGTGCAATCTAAATTTACTTTTGCTATACAGTGTATCAAAAAATTAAATAAAATATCTTAAAGGGGTCATATGATGCTTTTTTAAAGATCATTATTTTGTGTATTTGGTGTAACAGAATATGTTGACATGCTTTAATGTTCAAAAAACACATTATTTTTCAAATACTGTACATTTTTGTAGGTCCTCTATGCCCCGCCTCTCTCAAACGCTTTGTTTTCTACAAAGTCCCTCATTCCGATAAGCGCAGTCTGCTCTGATTGGCCAGCTGACCCAGTGCATTGTGATTGGCCGAACACTACAAGACATTTTGTGTCGTAAATTATTTTAGTTTAAATATATTTTAGATTTTTTTTCCCCCAGCTATTTATTAATTTGTTATAGATAACAGTCTAGTTATTTCAATCTAGTTGCAATTTGATCTTTATCACAGGTCTGAAATATTATAATACACGATGTATCAAAAACTACAATTAAATATTTTTTGGCTAAAATAAAATAAATGTAGCATTTTTTTTTTAGATAATTGATTTTTTTAGATAGTTTAAGTCATGAAAATGTATTTTAGTTTAAATGTATTTTAGAATATTTGATGTTTTCATTTTAGTTTTCATTAAATAAAACAGCTCACTCTTAAGTCACAATGAAAATCAGGTTCCTATAGTAGGGGTCCCATTTTTAAAATATAT